AGAGCTTTTTTTCAAAAACAATTGACTTATGGAAAATTTGTTTGCTGAGGTTTATTATGTATATATTGAATAATAGAATAGTAATTTTTATATATATTTTTTCCATGGTGGGAGAACTTTTTTTATCAGTTTCGAAGTAATTTTTGAAATTTGAAACGTTTATTAATCCACGTATGCACAACATTTTGATAAATTTACAATTGTCTTGTCCTACTTGTTTCGAAATTACAAACAATATTTTACGTTACGTTAAGCAAAACGTGTCTAAAATGATAACGCGACTCAATCTTCTCTGGTGGTCTAATCTAATGAAAACTAATTTTGTTCTATTTATTATGAAATGATTATAGTGCGAACTAGGGATAAAAGTATTAAGAGAAAATTGACAAAATGGCGGCACTTTATATTTAAGTCATCGATTTTTTCACAATATTTATGTTTTCAGTGGGTCGAAAAAATATCTCAGTTCACGCCATAGGTAGAAGTGTAATTTATATTTATACAAAATTTAAACTCAATTCGAAATGTGGTTCTTGAAATATCGTATTTAAAACGCGTTTGAAGTTTCATGTTCGATCAACCTAATGAGGCAAACTATGATATAAACAATTATAACTTGGGCAATTCTGAAATTTGTTTAATAGAATTTGGTACAAATATATTGAAGGCCTTAAATGACAACTAGAATATGAAGAAAAATCTAATTTTTGATCCAGAGAAAATAAGACTACTCTCTTAAATATTGGGTAAAAAATGAACCTGAAAAGGAAAATCGGAGATACCTTTTGGTCAACATAATAGATAAATAATTCTGTTTTCTTTGTCACAGACTGAAAACAGAATTAGAAGATAATAGTACGACTGTCATTGTGCACGTGGAATGGACAGTGTCACGAAAGACGGACGCAAAAGACGCCAGTGGGATAACAACGAAATTACGCGATATACCATTACCGCCATATGTAGACGGAGAATTTAATCCTGTGAGACGGACATTGGCTGAGATGTTGTCATCCGACGAGTCGACTCCTCATAACGGGACCATTACGCTGGAATATGCTTTCCCGAAGTTTTTGAAAGTGACTGGTCGAACTACTTACGTCGTTCCTCAATTAATGCGGCTGCGTAAGTTTCATTCGCGAATAACGCAGTTTACGAGGAGCTCAATTCAAAAAAAGATTTAAACAATTTACCCAATTTCAGGTACGAGAATCGAAGATGAGGAACCGGAAATGAACGACAATTATCTTTATAGAAGTATCAATCTTCACTTGACTACAGACGATACTTGTTGTGCTCGACAGAAATGGTGGATCGTCACGGAAGTTTGCAACGACGATCTCTATAATCAGCGTTTGAAAAACGTACCATTGAATAGCTGTCAAGATATCATGATGTTCTTGTTCAATGATAAAACGTTCCCCGAGGGATTGAGCTTTATCAGCGGCTTTGGGTGCGTTCGATGAAATCGTCAGGTTTCGTGAAACTTTGATGAAGTAACTTCACTAATTCGTGTATATTTTAACAGAATTTTAGGTTTATACACTACAGCGGTGATAGTTATAAGTCAAATGATGAGGAAAATAGTTAGTGATATGGCACCAAAGATTATGTTCGATGACCTGCCCTATGTGGATAGAATACTTCGGCTATGTTTGGATATATATTTAGTCCGTGAAAGCGGGGAACTGTGTCTCGAAGAAGACTTATTCGCTAAATTAATATTCCTCTATAGATCGCCGGAGACATTGATCAGGTATTACATCGAACTGTTACTATGTTTCTTTTCTTATAATATTCGAGAACTGGTGATATTTAAATCATCTCATTTTTAGGTGGACGAGACCACCCGAGGAAGGTGAACGGACTGATAATGAAGATCAAGATGACGCAGAGGAAGAAGCTGAAGAAGATGATGCCGAGGCAGAAAGGAGAGAATCTCGAGAAGTTTCTCGCCGTGAATAAATTACTGCACATCGTAAAAAGAAATTAGAGACTGTAAATGAACAATATTAACAGCAGTACTGTGCAATTTTCAAGAAGATCGCAGAAATGACGCAGAAACTTTGTTTTGCAATGTCCCATATTCATATAAGCTGTTTTTATCTGACGGCCAAGTTATTTTAAGTGAAAGACTTTATAAAAACACGTTGTGGCAATTATAGGGATAATTTGTTATGTAAAGGGAGAAAATTTTATGACAATAGTTTGCGCACTTGTCAATAGTGACGCGAACAATGGTTTGCAAACATTTAGAAACTCAGGAATTTATCAACGCTATATTTGTTGCTAGAGAAATAATTAAAGAGATTGTTCCTATCTTCAAAGGTGTATAATATAAAAAAGAGTTGTACATACATAAATGATTGGGAATTTGGCAAGTAACATGGTAAACGGAAGATGAAAGGAAGTAAAGAAAGGCTCGGAATCAAAGTACGAAACGACAGAAAAGGAATTAACACGATAATAATTTAACAATAAAGATAGCAAAAAACGGCTTGAAAATTTCACACAAACGCAAGAATATGTTCTAACAAATTTGTTTCACGAATGTGCTGTAAAATTTTACTGATTTTTATTTTGATATTTATTGATAAGGAACTTGCTTATATACTATTTATTAATATATTGGAAATATTGTGATCGTAAAACGTCAGTGACGCAACTAAATAATTTTTTAAATAAGTGCTTTATACATTTAAGCGTCTACAAATGTGTTATCGTACCGTACTAGCGATAGAGTTTTGTTGTTACTTATAATTTATCAGAATTTACGCTTAAACCGAATATGTATGCATTTCTAGCGTGACGCATTTAAGATCGCATCTATATAGATAAGAACATAAATGATAACTGCTAGTGGATTAACGGTAAATCTCTGAAACTGCCGTCAGCACGATCTTTTCTTCTCTTTTATACGTTTTCTAATCGTCAATTCATCTTATCGCTATCACTCATGTATAATCTGGCCATTTGCCAAGCCTTGCGCGAATTTTATATGTCCATCATACTTAAAAGACATTCAATATCATGCGAAAAATCATTGTTTGTAAATAAACATTTTACGATGTCAAAACATCGTATCATGTCGCCTTGATACGGCTTTTAAGAATACCTACAAATATAAATCGTTCTAAATGGATATCGAGTGATTTCGTCTGGAAAGAGATATATGCATGAACTTTGTTTTCAGGAAGTATATAAAACAGTAATGCACACATAAAGCGATTTATTAAACATTTTCTTACAAAACGTGATTTTCAAATTCTTTAAACTAAATTTAATAAATCTACAACCTAAAATCAACATGCGATCGAATCTGATCATATACATACATTAAAAAAGTGTAATACCTTCTAAACAATACAACATGTTATAATTATTTAAATGTCTTTCAGACATAAAAATATCAGTAAAAAAATATAGTCTTTTAGTAATTTCAATGTACTCATTATTACTTAATAGAACAGTTTGAAAAATATAGAACAGTTAAGACATGTGCAACAAACAACTGGAATGGAAGAATGGATGCTCTATTGTTAATATAATCTAAGTTTAAGGCAGGAGATAGGACATTAGTAATATCTATTCCTATTGTTTTGATAGCTCCTTGCACTTCAACTTTAATGTTATATTTTCTTGCTTTAAAAATTCTAACTCTTCTAATTTTCTTTGCAATTCTTCGTTATATTTCTGTAATTTTACAATTTCTTCATTTAATCTCTCGTTTTGTTCTACCAAACTTCTTACTCTATTCGAATCTTTACTAGGATGCATTTCATTAACTAGTTCATCTGTTTGGTTTAACAGATGTTTAATGAGATTAGCTTGGGAATTGAAGTGTAATTCTTGCATTACTCTCAAAATGTTTGAACTTTCTTGTTTTATATGCATGCTTACTATGTCCTTAATGGAATTAAGCAATGCAGCAGGATCAGTTTCTTTGCACTCCAATTTCTTAACACAGTCTTTGTCTTTAGAAACTTCCACTTGGGAAACACTTTCTTTTGAATAATCATGAGGTCTACTGTTTTCTTTAATAGACAGATTTGAAGACTGATTGTTTTCCTTACAACTTCCAGAACGACGAGTCTGATTTGTTGAACGAGTTTTAAGTCCAGGAATTTTCACTCTGGCCTTTTGTATCTTTGTTTCAATATTGTCTGCAGGCTCCTCATCGTCAGCTTTCACTTTATTCTCAATTGGCTTCAATTTGCTCTCACTAGGTATTTCTCTCTTTTCAGAAACCTTCACTCTAACCTGGTGCTTCCTAGTATCTTGATCTGACAATTTTTTCAGATCATGTACATTTAATTCTTTAGTAACTGGTTTCCTTTCAGTTTTATGATGTAAATTGTCAACATTATGTGGCAGCGTCGGTTGTAACGGAGTGGATGTAGCAATTCTTGTTGTTACATGTCTATCTACTGGATAAGAATTAACATTTGTAACATCAGTAGGCACTAGTTCCAGATCTTCTAAGAAAGAATCATTCATTTTGATTCTTTTTAATAAACTTTGCACTGTACTGGATTAATAAGTAAAACACAATTTTTTCTATCTATAATGATATAATTATCTTAGGAACGTTTACTGAAAACTTGAGTATTTCAACAATGCACAATGTGTACCAATGTGTTTTACGAATACTTTAATCACAATGTTGAACTAAGATTGCTTCGAAACTTCATTCATGGATTTGTTATAAATATCCAGTTTTCAATTCTTTGCATCATTCAATTTGAAGAAATGCAAAAGTCAATTTTCTACCACACTGTTATCGACGACATTCTGTATTCGTCGAGTTAAAAATAGTTACAATTCCGCGTTAACCTTCGATTAAACTACCGGACGTGAATTTCAATACATGTCAATTCAAATTTATTTGTGTTAGTAGTCAGCTGACACAGATTCGTTATACCGCAGCGCCATCTGCGAAAGTATTACTTGAATAGTTGTGGGAGCCATTGTTTTTTCTTAGTTTCAGACCAAAGTGGACCAAAGTAATTGTGCTCTCAAATGTCCAAAAAAAGTTGAAGTTCGTATCTAATTTTCAATCTTAAGCTTAAGTCTAAGTTTTTTGATGGAAGATACAAAAAATGTGGATTAGATAGTTTTCTAGAAAATATTTCATCGAAATCTATATTCGTCGTATTGGTAACATTGATGAGTCGGTTGGAGATTCGATTTCTAGCGGGTCATTAGGTCAGATCATGATAACCAGTTACCAGGTCATTGTCAACAACAATTAGAGTTCTGTGTTAACTTTTTAATCGGACATTTAGGTCACATTCACTCGTACTTAATAACTGTTTTATAAAGTGAATTACAATGATCAAAATCGTGTCTATTCTACACATTTTCGTTCTAATTTCACTCACAATCGAAAATGGAAGAGGATTTACGAACGTTTATCCCAAATTGAAGAGTTATCCCATTCGAGATGGCGATGATACTGGAAAGCCTCTGTTCTTAACACCGTTAATCGACAGCAATCAAATAGATGAGGCTCGTAACAAAGCCATTGTACAGCATAAAGAAATGGGCGAAGTTAACAGTTATGCCGGTTACTTGACTGTCAATAAAGAATATAATTCAAACATGTTCTTTTGGTTCTTCCCGGCTGTGGTAAGTGATTGAATGGTTTGCATATATTTTTCGAATTTCTCGAATTTCTCGCAAGTTTTTGCCATTTTCAATTAAAATTAAATTTTATGTAATTTTATTTGTAAATATTTGGTAAGTAAAATAAAGTCATTACTTTAAATAGCATAACCCTAAAACTGCACCTATAGTATTGTGGTTACAAGGTGGGCCTGGGGCTACGTCTATGTTTGGTTTATTCATGGAGAATGGTCCATTTATCGTAACTGCAAACAAAACCCTTAAAATGCGCAAGTATTCTTGGAATCAGGCTCATAATTTACTTTACATCGACAATCCTGTTGGTACTGGATTCAGCTTTACTGACAATGATAAAGGATATGCCATTAATGAAACACATGTGGGAAGGGATGTTCATACTATGTTAGTACAATTCTTTAAGTTATTCCCTGAACTCCAGGGTAATGACTTCTATGTCACTGGTGAATCTTATGCTGGAAAATATGTACCTGCTGTATCTCATGCAATCAAAGACTTTAACATCAAGGCACAGACAAAAATAAACTTAAAGGGTTTGGCAATAGGAAATGGTCTGACCGATCCAGAGAATCAATTATTGTATGGAGATTATTTATATCAGTTGGGATTGATCGATACAAATGGAAGAGATGTGTTTCATAAATATGAAGATAAAGGTCGAGATTTGATCCGACAAAAAAAATATGAAGAAGCCTTTGAACTATTTGACACACTTCTGGATGGTGATTTAATTGGTTATCCTTCTTTATTTAAAAATCTAACTGGTTTTGATTACTACTTCAACTATTTACATACCAAAGATTCAGATGATGCTGACTACATGTCAGAATGGATTCAAAGAGCAGATGTGAGACGAGCTATACATGTTGGCAATTGTACATTTCATGTTGAAGATAAAACAGTAGAGAAACACTTACAAGGAGATATTATGCAGTCACTGGCAATTCTCATATCAGATCTTACTCAACATTACAGAGTTTTAATATACAATGGCCAGCTTGATATTATTGTGGCATATCCTCTAACAGAAAACTATTTGCACAACTTAAAATGGTCTGGGGCTGAAAAATATAAAACAGCCAAGAGGAAGATGTGGTGGGTTGGAAAAGAGTTAGCTGGTTACTCAAAAACTGTTGATAATTTAACAGAAGTTTTGGTCAGAAATGCTGGACACATGGTTCCTTCAGATCAGCCACTTTGGGCTCTCGATCTTATTACGCGTTTTACACACAATAAACCATTCTAAATTATTTTTGAAGTGTTTTGCTGAAAGTATGTAATATCTCTGTATAATGGCTATGTTCGTATTGAAAGAGCTATAAGGATATTTAATTTTAAGGTAAAAGTAATATACAATAAAACTCCATATATCCGAACCGGCGACACCACAGTACTTAGTTACTTGAACACTTTGGTGAGCTTGTATTATCCAAACTCAGCTCACGCAACGTATCGCTTATGGGAATTTGTGAACTTAAGTTATATGAACTATCCAGTTGCTAGAACCTTTGACCCCCGACCAATTCGGATACACGGAGTTTAACTGTATACACGCAATAAGAATGCGCATACTATACTTAATTCTATAATAGAAGAACTAATAAACATTTATTGATAATAAAAAGTGTATATAAGCATCTTATTATTATTGAGCAGTCTCATACAAATGATTTGTCTTATTTATACATATATGTACTAGAGGTATTTATTTACCATTAGGTACTTTGTCTTACTATTTCTTTGTAATAGTATCAGGTATACATTTTGATGCATGCATACATGATAGCAAAATACTAAGAGATCATAAAATGTATATATATAAAATTTAATTACATCAATTGTCACGATTAGGCAAGATCTCTCGTATCTTGTTAGTTTCTTCATGACATATTATAGCAATTAACTTTAAATAGTTCGTAACAGTTTACACTAATCCAGGTACGGCAGTAAAAAGTTATCTACTATAGATATATTTTTGTGCCACTCTATGTGGGGAATATTTGGTACTGTAATGAGGGTAAGTCTATCACTCTCATCTAATGTCTTCAATCCAATTGAGTCGTCTGTATAAATAGATCGATCGCGCATATCTATCACAGTTTCATTAGCATCAAAATATCCAAAGTGACTACTTTGCCATGGGGTGATAACGCCATCTTCAGGGCCTCCAATAAGTATCATACGTTTTAGTTTGGTAAGTCCTTGTTTAAACGTTGACCCCAGTGTCGAATTTTTCTCGTTGTTTACGAGTGGAAGGAACCTACTGTATTTGTAATATAATTCCTAAAAGAAAACAAAATACAGTTTGTTATGAAATCCAACTGAAACAAAGAGTATGCCCACCTGATGGTGAGGATCATTCCAGTAATTTCCGACGCTGGTATGTTGTCCAACTTTTGAATAAAATAATTCATAAGCAGTTTCACACGCTAAATCGGGGAAAAATAAATGCAAAAATCGAGCTGCAACGGAAAAGAAACCTTTGAAGTAAAAGTTTTCTTTGTTTACTTTCAAGGATGATACTATCATCAGGTCGTCACGTACTTCCGTATTGTCCTGCTTGTGGCGAACTCAAAGAGATAAAATTCCTGACATTATGATTAGGAAATCTTTGCAATATGGCTCTAGCTAATAAACCACCTTGGCTATAACCTATTAAATTTATTCCTTCGGGGAATGCAGCACCTACGGACACGACATCCATCCCTATTTCTTCTACTTGTCGCCACATTGGTTCTAGACTACTCCATCCTGCATATCTCGGCGTATTATAAACCTGTGTCCCAGGATGCATCTAAAATCGATGGTTATTTTATGCATACACAAACATAGTTATAAAAATTGAATCGTATTATCTAGAGACGCGGTAGCGTCTCGACGCCAAGTACATGAAAATCATGTTTACCCGCTATATTTACGTAGGTGCGACATCTGCATCATCCTTTATTTGGCGTGAGTTGCTTACCTCTTGTATTCTGTTGCTAATAAGTTCCATACTGTCGCTTCCAGTAAGCACACCATGGATAACAACCACAGCACGATAACTTTCAACGGCATTAATAAGTATAGTTAAAAAGAAAAGAATAAAAGATCTATAACTTAATGTAGCCATCGCTACTCGTAGATTTCCGATTATGCTATACTCAAGAAAACATTCTGTCATGTCAGACTAGGATCTCTTTTTCATCTGTTTTCATCGCAGCGACGTAATTTTTGATCGGTGTAGCAATTGCGCCCTCTCGTGACAACCAATCTTTGGTTGTCGCCTTGTTGAGAGGGGAGCTTTAAAATCAATTTCTTGGACAACATCCAGAAAACATCTTTCCACCGACGATCACGAAGAAATCTTCTTTACCTTTGAATGATACGCATCCGCTGTCTTCTGCAGGTAGTGATAAAGGCATCTACACGAGTTACAATTTTTGTACCGATTTTTTTTTTTTTTTTGAAGATATTTCTGTTCGTTATGATGCATATCATCGAGTCTCCGTTTAATAATTAAACATTGTTTAATCATCGTACAAATCATACGTATCAGGAATGTGTAACGAAAGGAGAAAAGAAAATGAAAGTGGTGAAAGGTTATGGAACAAAATGGCACCTACCTAATTCAAGAAATGAATTGTGTATTGAAATTTAAATGTGCTGCCTTTGAATTTTTCTTCGAAATTTGCTCATTGTGCTCGTGCTTTTTGAACAATCAAATAAAATTATTAGGTTGTACCAAAAGTTTCTTCCGTGACTTGCACTCAATTATTTTGTGTGGCAGTGTTTATATAAATAGACAACCTAATTTCTTAGATGTTAATATTGTATAACAGTAATGGAGCAAAATGAATCGTACGCAATTTAATAATGTAACATTAGACATAAAATATTGTGTATGTATTACTTATTAATGAAATGGAAGAAACTTTTGGGATAACCTAATATTTCAGCAGAAGTAACCGAAGACATAGATGGTCATACAATGATCATGCAGATGCGATAACAACCCGTGGATCATGCTTCGACCAATAGGGTCGGGGTTCAATGGTGAAAGGAACTCAATTGCGTTCCGAAACAACGTGCTGCAGACTGTAGTAGGACCCTAATCCTTCTAGAACTGTGTGTAAGGTGACTGGGCACGTGGCATTTCCCGTGCTTGGTACAACCATATATCACCGTGTCCTGACATCACCCCTAGTTGGCATACGAAACTCACGCCTCGTGCTCAGACGATGGATGTCGAGCGTATTGTTTCGACCAGCGACATCCCCGATTATCACCACTTTACTTTCGAGAGTGTCATTACGGTAATGTACTGTAATGTTTAGTAGATTCGTACAACAACGTCTATCGCGGTTCTACGGTTCAGCAATGTACGTTAATCACTTCTTGGATTTGAAGTGACTATTCGGAAGAATTCGTCTATCAATGCAATTTCAAAGAGTTGCCAAGTCATTGGAGTTATGAAGAAAGCAAGAAATTGATGTCTCTTTGACGAGGACGCGTTAATGGATTTAACACTCTGGCGGACATCCCGATGCAGGGAAGATCTTTGGTACTAGTACTTTAGCGAAACGAAACAACTGACTCGCGAGTAATTTGAGGGATCTGTACAAAATGAGATTTGTTCGCGCGATGTATCAGAATGATTGAATGGACAGGTGTACCCTTTGCCCCGAGAAGCTGGAACAGCGTACAACAATTTAACCGGAAGGAATACCTGGGAACGTATGTACTCACGTGCTTCTGATGTCGCATGCTGGCTCTAATCGAGTCCCCAGAAGCTTTGAAACTACCAGCGTTTCTTTCTCGTAGAAGAGGGATAGAACCGAAGGAGAAGGAGAACGAGAGGAAAGACAGCCAATCCAATTCCACGCTCAAACCCGACCATCGCGATGGCGGAGGGTGGCGAAAAAACGCAGCCACAGCCAGAGCGCAAGGCGAGTGTAGGTCTCGGAGCTTTTTTGCGTTTAATCAAGGATATTCGCGGTCGGCTGACTCGGTATTTTAGTCCACCAAGTGCTAACCGAGGCGCGCAACCACCAGCGACGACCATATCGCAGGAAGTGGATGAAGGAATCTTCGTCCTTTGACCTCGCAGGGACGCTCCTACCTATCTTTCGCATTTCACCATGCGCCCGGTATTATCTCCACGAGTTCTATCCTCTGTCGAAAGTTTCATCCCCCCTAAGCGTTTTAGCGAAGCATTAACGCAATCAGTTGGGATACAGTATCGACGTAAATCGAATATTCGGCTGGTTTATACGCAACATTGTATGCAGAGTAAAAAATGGCCAGGAAGCTACTGCATCCCTGCAACAGTAATTTACGCGTATACATCTGAGGAGGAAAGCCAGTAATTCAACTTCCGGTTTTGTAAATTCAAATTTAGGTACACAACGCAGAACGAATGAACAGAGCCGTGGTAATGGTTGCAAAAATATGCAAGGACTACCTTTGCGTTTCACTTTTATATAATCCATCGTCTTCTTTTTACTTTGCCGGCTGTTATTAACGGAGGGCAAGTGTTGCAGTCGGTCAAAATTTTCATCCAATCTATTACCCCCAGCTTTTTTTAAACGTCTACTTAAAAACCAAACTGTATTTAATTATTACTTAAAGTATTTGCACACTAACGAGTTAGGTGATGCCGAGTGTATGTTAGAATGGATTCAAGGAACAGACATGAGACAAGTTATACATACAATGGGTGTAAAAAGTATTCGTACATCGATCAATTTCCAAAAAAACTGTGTAAAATTGTAATTTATTAACTTTTATAAACAATGACATTCTACATATTCTCGGAAATCTCTAGAATAGATAGATTACAAAAAAATAGCTATTTATGTAAGTTGCGAAATTAACAAGAAAAAAACAATTAATCGATAAAAATGTTGATGCAATAAGTATTCGCACAACTGTTTAAAAGTACTTTCCTGGAAATTTGATGTTTTCTAAGTCGCACGGAGCAATAAACTAATGTGTCTACGTTACAAACTCTACTGTAAATGGTTCGTCATAAGAATCGTACAAATACTTATTGCTACTAGACTATTACCCACTTTTCGCATTTTTTTGTTAATTTCACAAATTATATTAACTAGTAAATGTTGCTCGGACTATATCTATCTTAGAGACTTTCGAAAATATGTAAAATATCATTGATTATAAAAAAGAAGTTAAGAAACTACAATTTCACACAAAACTTTTTTGCGAAATTGATCAGTGTACGAATACATTCTACATCCACTGTACGCGCTGGCTCTTGTACATTTCATATCGATGACAAGACAGTAGAAAAATACTTAAAAATACTTAGAAAGTTAAAGTGGTCCGGTGCAAAAAAATATAAAACAGCCAAGAGAAAGTTGTGATAAGATGATAACATTACTGTACGGAGACTATTTGTGTCCATCAGGATTAGTAGTAAACAGAAAAAGTACGAAGATACCTTTGAATTGTTTGAAACGCTCCTTGTAGCATTAAATCGTCTTGGCGTAGCGATGTCCAAGGTTTGAGCCATCATTTTCTATCAGCGAGGAATCATAGATCCTCTTCATCCGAGAATCGACTCGAGAGTCTGTTTAAGGCCACCCTTGAGCTTCGTAAGTACAGAGGCGGGAGAGAAGACGAAGTGGGTGGTACGGTGTCGGAGGAACGGCCGGGAGATTAGCGTTAATTACAGAGTTGAGCCGTTCCGGGGTTGGGACGGGGCGCGAGGTATTTGTCACTCGGCACTGCTCTCGACTCCCGTTCCTCGTTCTGAATATTAATAACCCCGCCACCGTCCTTCGCCACCCCATCCTCCGTGTCGCTGCTCCTCTCTTCCTCATCCCGGCTTTTACGACATCCGATGAATTGCGCGGCAGACAACGCTACTCATTATGCTGACTGCTTGATTTCATCACCGTCAGCGGTACGAAAAATTAATCGTCCCACGATCGAGGTGAACGAGGATCGGCTTGCGGATTTTGGCGAGTTTCTGGCTCCTCGAACGCTCGACTAGCGCGAGGGTAAGATAACGTCGAGAACTTTTCATCGTGTTCGTTATCGGTAATATTTTATACAAGGAAATGCACACGGAACGTCTGCTCGTCCATATTCAACGACACCCCGGTCTCAAGGTAGTCTTCTGCCATTTTCCCAACCCCGATATCGTTTTCCAAAAATTGAAGCATAGTACCACCGACTCCGCCGTTATCCCCTTCCACTGAGCACGTCGATCAATCGATATCATCCTCTCTCGTCCTTTCTGCGGTTGGTCCCTCGATGGTGGTCCCATTCCCGCTCAAAACGTTCAGATATTCAAAGTCGGGGAATAGTTTATTCATGGCCGGCTCGGAGAACTTAGAAAGATATTGGAAGCGGCCCAGGAGAGGGTGAAAGATAGAAAAAGAGACGGCGGCTACTAGCGCAACGGCGAAGGAGCGAGAGGAGCGATATTGGTCGGACGGAAGTGTCCCCTCGGGGAAACGAGAAAACGGGAGGAGCGTCGTCTCTCCCCCGATCCGATAAAGCGAAAGAGGGACCCCCTTGTGGCACGAACCACCACTCCTCCTGCCTTGACCCACGTGACAGCGAGCCCGCCAATAAAATTCAAATAAACTCCGCCGTGCATACTAAATTATCACATCTTCCATTACCCGACCGCGTGCCCATTTCCGAACGGTCTCCGTTGGTCCCGTGGAAACGTTTCGCCATCCTGTCGAAATTCCAATATTTTTGACTTTTGCCCTTGTACGCGACCAGCAACGATTCTCGTAGCTGTACCGTTGGGATTTCGAAACACCTTACACTTTAATGCCGCCGTCGGGCAAATACTTTAAGACGACCGCGGACTTATCATTTTTAGGAAGATATCCCGTTTAATTGATTGCTCGTAGATCAAAACTTAATCTGTTTTGTCGGTCTCATCGACGGAGAATTGCGGATTTAACGATCGACAAAGGCGTCTCGAGCGACCGTTCCCGAGGAAAGGTTAAAAAGGGTGAAGACCCCTGTCGATTATACGGGGCAACCCGTAGACTGTGCCGCCGTCTCGTGACGTCATTAATCCAACGATGGATTCCCGAGGAAACGGGAATGACTCGTCCGCGAGGGTCCAGCGACGCTGATGAAGGGACACGGAGGTCAGGTGGCCTTTCCCAGGAACGCCCCAGATTTCAACATTACTCAAGCAGGATCAACCTGACAGGAAGAGGGCCATTGTTCGCCCTCGCGCTGCTGGGCTTTCTTCCGCATCGACGGTGCACACCATCTTCTCGCGACTCGACCATTGCTGTGCGCGTATAACGTTTCTTTTGTTTCTGGAATGCGTCAAGTGTTCGGAACGATTTCTCGTTTAAGGATGTGTGAAAAAAATATATCGTTATTCTCATCTCTGTATAACGAAATCAATCACACGAATCTTTCTTGTTCGTAGACTTATTTTTCAAGATGCTAACATTTATTTAGGTCATTTAGATTAGTTGGATTTAATATTATTAAATTTACTTAAGTGACCCTTCGAATATGTTATTTTTAATTCAAAATCGTCTAATTTCTTCGCAGATCTGCGTTACATTTAATTTTATTTAAGCAGAGTTTATTTATATAGCAAATTATATTATAAGCAATGTACGTAATGTACGAGAAATGTGGCTATGGGAACAAT